CTTGACCTTAAAAAGAAAAAATATTTAATAAATATTTAATATAAACTTTCATCCCCTATTTTATTTTATCACCTTAAGAGTAACTTTTTCACAAATTTTGAATGTCATATGTATTTATATTTAATCAAGCGCCTTAAAAATAAGTCTATACTGTGTTCCAAATTTCATTTAAATCAGTTCAGTAGATATGGCGTGAAAGCGAGACTTTCGCATTTATAATATTAGTAAGGAGTGTTTTTCTTAAATGAGGATTTGTAATTGCATTCAGTACTTATAGTACAGTTCAGTAAAGTACAGTATTGTACATAATATAATTACGCATGACTTACAAATATTTATGAGAAATTTACGCCACCTGATCCCAATCTAGGCGAAACTTGTGTTACGGATACTAAACTACTGATATATACCTAGGAAACATGCAGAAAAATGCAAAGACATTGGAAGTACTGCGGTGTGCTAAAACACTACGTTACGGAGGACGTACGTACGTCCTAATATACTATTTAGGTATATTTAAAAGTGAAGAGTGTTTAAGAATATTAGGACAGCATGTAGTATATCTGTAGCGTAATGGTGAATCTGTTGCCTATTCAACTTTGCGGCATATGATGCTAAACTTTCTGAAACTGTTTTTTGGCATTTGTTTTGAATTTTGGGAAAATGTGTGATCATTTACAACATTTTAGTAAAAAGACAGACAAGACAAAAAATACACACAACAATTATACACTGCACAAAAGAAAGTTCAATTCAATACAATAAAAGCAATAGACAAATATTTAAGAGTTTACGCATCTGTGCAGTATACATATCAGCTGGGCCGTATGCTTGTTTGCAACTATGCCGTCAACATGGTATAAAACAATTTAAACATTTCCATTTTTAGGATTAATATGTTGTGGCTGCGTAGCTTGTAATGTCACTATCGCATCTCAACCGGAAGATGGCGCAAAGCAAGGAGCTGAAGATTTCATACAATATCTCCTATAGGATATTAATATTCTACTAACATTATAAATGAGAAAGTTTGTTTGGATGGATGAGTTATATGATTTAATCCCTGCTAACATTTAAATTGCATAAGTAACTTAGTCTGTCTGTCGCCTTTACGCTGAAACTACTAAACGGATTTAAATTAAATTTGGTAGCATAGATCTATATTTTTTAATGCAAAAAGGGTTGAATGGGGAGAAGTTAGGTTGTATTTATAATTACATCATTTTTAAGTCATAAAGCTTGAAACTTATTTTCTAGGCTGTTGATTAAGTATAAATAAATATCAAAGTTTGGAAATTTTTACCCATAAGGCACAAAATAAGTTAGGGGACGAAAATATATATGGATATTCGTCATTTTTGAAGCTAAAACGACGAAACTCTCTGCAAATAGCTTATTAATATATTTATGTATATGGGTTTTATTTTTAAAATAATAAAAAACATTAATCATGTTTGTTATTCCACCGCCTTATTATCTCTGATCAGCCCAAAGGTTGCCTGGTAGAGAATCACATCAAGCATTAAGTCCGCCATGTATACAATTATATTTGCACAAGAATAAATAAATAATAACTTCATATATTGCCAAATGTATATGTCCTTGATGCAATATGTTGCTTAATGAAACACCCGCAAAACTGTAACTTACAAAACTTTATGAAATCTCACGTCGTAACGAACAACAAAAAAGTAAAGAATAAACTTTGCTAACTAACCGGCTCTGTACTAAATAAAATACAACGGATATGTTAGTGAGGTTGAAAGTTCCCAAGTACAGGAATATATGTATTGAAATTTTTCACAATAAACAAACCGACAAACCAGTTACAAATTTATAATTGGCCCACGCAGGGATAAACTTTATCAAGTTGAAGCAATTCAATCGGATTTTGTTAAGATATCCATATACAGTCATGAACGGCAGACAAGCTAATTTTAGGGGTGTGACATTCCGTATAAAAATGGTTTTTACAAAATGATTTGTTATTGATATCAATTCGTTTTTATCTTCCTAACTTTTGAAACATTGAACCTATGAATGTTTTTACATATTTTTAGGTCACCTATTGTCTATATTTAGAGTTATTTGGATGACATAATAAAATTACAAATGTAAACAACCTATGACTATTTTATTTAGATTTTTTTTAATTTCTTAACTTATTTCCAATATTCATGTCACCAGCTTTATTTTTTCTCAGTCCAGAGTTTCTCGGGAAGAAATTGCGTTAGCGATAAGACGGCCTTTTCTACTTAGTCTTATTTTTAATAATTTAATTTTGTTCATGTCCTTACAATGTTGGTGCAATAGTATTATATACCCATAAATGAATGAAATAATAGTAATCATCAGAGCAGATCAGTGCTTACAGACAGCGTCTGTTCCCGAATAACAGTAAACTAATAATAACAATTTATAATTGTAATCATATCTAAGGAACACAGCGCCATCTAGTCCTAAGCTAAGCAGAGCTTATGTTGTTGGTACACTGACAACTGATACAAATAAATACATAATATAGAAACTACCCAGCCCGATACAAACATTTATACTCAAGAGAACAAATGTTTGTGCCGGTGTGTGTGTGATGGATTATGCAAGCCGCGATCATCGTAAGTAAGATGATGTGCTAAAGCGTCAGATCAGCGAACCCGTCGAATTGTTTGAATATTGAAATCAATGAATGAAATCGGTTTATTAACCACATCCCTAACTTTACATTCTGTATTTCGGTACGACCGTATGTTCTATGAATATATTTCACTTGAATTATGCACTCGCATACTCCTCCGTGCGTTGCCATTCCCAAGGACTAAGTTGTTATATCTCCGTGCCCTGTAATTTCACTGCAGTATCCCACCCTTCAATCCTGTACAAGTTTGCTAAGCAAGCCGGCGGCGGAATTAGACGAGACAGATGTACACACATGGTTTCGTACAAAGTGTACTTCTAGTAAAATTGTCCGCAGACTTGTACGACTGATTGCCGTTTATTGCGTCGTGTAATCAAAAATCCCAAATCGCTCCCAACCAAATAAATCCCACCCCAGTATTTATTTATTTAGATCGCAAAATCGAATAACACTCGCCCCCAAAATGAATTGATGTGAGACGCACGCGGTGGTGACAATGTTTAAATTATATTTAGCTGCCAACCAATGACGGGAGGCAAGGTACTCCACCGCCAATGGTGGTACGAATAGACATTTTCCAAAATTATTACGTTTTCCGTCTCGTCGCGTCAGAGCCAGGGGAGAACGTTGTACATATTATGGGTTATACCAACATATGTATATTAAGCGAATAAATTAATCAATATATTCATTTTGAAACGCCAATAGCATTCATTGTCTAGGAGAGGATTGTTAGTAAAGGGATCATAAGTGATAGAAACGTCAGGTCGATCTTCACGCGGTTCGTTCTGGAAGCCACTGTAATTAATTTCTTTCTGCTCTTTCATGCTCATCCTACAATACTCCACTGGTGCTCCGCCAACTTAAACCGGTTGACGCTCCATGCCATTTCATATATTAAAATAAAAAATGTGACATTGCAAATTGTTTAAAATATTATGTACGCTTCCCCTGTACTGTTTTGTACGTAAATATTTGAATTCGACTGCCTCGGTGGAATAGCGGTTTAGCTGCACACCACCTTTCTTACGATGGCGCGGGTTTGATTCCTCGCACGTTATAAATATTTATCATCAGTCTGAGTATTTTTATCGTCATATATGTAAGTATGTAATTTAAAAAAAAATGTATTTATGTCAGTTGCTTAGTACCAATAACACAAGCACAGCTTAGTTTGAGACTTTATAGGGCTGCGTGAATTGTCCTGAGATTTAAAAATAATATGGAAACTGCAAGAAAATTTAACTATAACGTTGTAATTAAGTTAATTTGTTTAAACTAAAACAAAAATTATGTAATATAATTAAGAAAATAATTAATAATAATTAAGAAAAGAAATTAACGGTAACAAGTTTGAGAAACATTTATTATTCAGGAGGATTAAAACTGAAAGAAAATGTGGGTATTACATTACAACTAGGTATAGTATTTGAAGTACGTATAAAGTGGTCGCAGTATATCATTACATTGGAGGGTAGTTCAACAAACTGCAGACACCGTCATACCGTGAATGAGGCTGGTACGATGCAAGCGTTGCATCTGGTAAGTACACTATCCTTATTTGTAAATAATTATACGAATAATAGAGAGATATTTAGGTAGATTATTCGTGCTCAGATCCATATAACTATATTAATAATGTCATAGCAGTCAGAAACATTTTAGTCACATACTGTTAACTACAACATCAACAATATCATAGTAATTATTTGGTTAAATGTTATTACTAATAAATAGTAATATTATATGTATTTATAGTATATGAAAATTATATATGAATACGTATAATATTACCGTTATTTATTAGTAACTTCGTGATCGTTCTTCGTCATAACTGCCCCACAACGCTTTCTGAATCAAAGGTTAGCTAGTGGAAAATGCCATACGACATTATGCTCGCCTTTTCGTACAAGTTATACTGAGCATAAATAATAAATAACAATAAATCGTTCCTTACTACTCCGAGCTAGTGTTAGACATTAAATAATTTTTAGATGTATCTGTGTAAATTGTTTTTTCATTGCTACTTCAAAATGAATTTGTTCAATCAACAACAATACATAATTGTTTTTGATTGAACAAATTCATTTTGAAGATTTTTATGGAAATGCAATCCGAGGTAACCAGGTAGGATTAAAACTAAATATTTTTTTTAACAATATTTTTTTAAGTATTTGAAAGTGTTAAATACATTTTAATACTTAAATACAATTTTAGTTCAATACTCCTAAAGGCAATGTAATTCTTATGAAATGTATTGTTTCGTGTTCTCTGAACTACTTTTAACTATCATTTGTATCGTGAAACTATATTTTTGTGTACCTATTAGAAAACAGTCATTGTTCATGAATCCTCTTTGTTTCAGAATTCCAATAAACTAAATAACAAGTGAGTTTGGCAGATAAAAGTCATTCGGTAAGTGCAACTTCTATTTGAATAGCAACACTTGCAGCCGACTGGGTACTGCAAATCACAATACAATGCAATCAGAATATCGACTTCAACACAATCTAGTTGTTGTTAGTTCCTTTAGAAACTCAATCTAGTGTTAATCTAAGCTAAATGTACTACAATGGTAGTTAGTGCAGTCCATACAATGACGGCGTCGTATTCAGAATTCAAAGCTGAATATTGAATAATAATTTAATGTATCACACTATCTAACTTACACACCATTTAAAATGGCTAATTGTAAACTGTAATTTGGAATGAATTCAGAATCATATTTTATTCAAGTAAGCAATTATTATTATCCATATTAATAATTCATTATTTGATTTGTACCTTCTAACTTTACCTCTAATCTTTATACTGTTTCCTACATTTTGTTTTTGGCTGCAAAATCTCTGAATCTGTATTATTGGCTTTTTCTTGGAATGTACTATATTTATATTATATATTGGATTGTAAGGTGTTGGTTTTCTAATAAATTGTTGTCGTTTTTTTTCAAGTAATTAAAAAACCTAAATAGAATAAAAATGTATAGAATATTTTAAGGTTTCCATAATTAATAAATAGACTTTGTAATTAATAAGTAATATTTGAACCTTGAAATATTTGGCACAAATTGTATTAAATAATATTTCTTTTCATTTTAATATTGAGAGAATGTATTTACTTTGTTGGAAATGGTTAAATGTCTTTTTTGAAAGTAGTGTCCATCTCGGTTCTTTTTGTTCAATTAAGTTATATACTTATACATTTCAATATAAACTAAAATTAGATTATTTTACACATATAAATATAAAATTTCTACATTTTATATGATTTTTCTTCATATAAATATAAAAGTGACCATATGGCTATGAAAGTGTGTATCATACACACTTACATTGAAAAAAATATATATCTGACTTATTCTTGCTAATCTCTGAAACGGCTAAACGGAGTAACTTATGCTAAATTTATTTTAGAATATTTTGTTTTTAATATAAAAACGCTAAATTTGTCTCGGATGAAGTCACTGGTAGTTAGATATAAGTGTGAATACTGAATAGGGTTGTGATGCCTGTGGGCCTGACACGACAAGATTTCGATTTCCTCTAATTCCACTCTTATAATATTGGTTCGCCTCTCCCTTCCTGCCACCGGCTTCAGTCACTCGTCGAGTTCTTTATATCTATATATTAATATACGTGAAGCAAAAACTTTGTACACCTTATTACGAAAATTGCGTGGAGAAAAGAAGGAAATTTAGTATAGAATTTTGTTTCTTCAACTTAACTAAGGTACACTTTGTATATGATCCCACACCAGGCCGCCAATGTACACCAATAATAATTGATATACATAAATTGTAATTTTAGTAAAAATAAAAAATTAAAATATCAAGTTAGTACCTATATTATAAAGTAAGTACCCATATTATAAATAAGATAACTTAAACCATATATGTAAATCTTAATCTTATTAATATTACAGTACGCGAAATGTTGTGAGTATAGGTGGATGTTTGACACTCTTTCACGCAAAAACTACTGAACGGATTGATATTTTACAGTAATATAGTTTATACATCAGAATAACACAGGCTATAATTACAGAAGATATGTAAATGGACGAAATATAATGATAAATGTCATGTAAGTGTGATGCAGAGGAATATGCGCGAATCAGCTAGTGATAAAATAAAATAACGATGAGTTTTGTGATATATGATTTCGCTTGTTGTAAATACAGAGCATGGGCATCGTTGGGTGCTCGGTGAGCGGTGGTCGGGCGCGGCTAATGACGCACGCGCCTACAAACATTCAGTCAATAAACTATTACTTTATTGTGCCGCCGCCCTTAACAATCATACAGGCTAAACATTGGCGGGCTTTACGATATTTACATATCGTATCGTGTGACGCGGCCTTTATTCGATTTACGTTCCGTTACACGCTGTATAAAGATAATTATACATTTTATATGCTTACTTCTTGAGATAAAATATGGCCTTTGTCTGTCCTCGTAATATCATGTGTCTTCATATAAAATTTCATTAATGTAAGTTTAGTCTTGAAAAATCAATTAAACAGACATAAATACAAACTTTCGAATCTATACACATAAATAAGATTTAAGATCAGATAATATATAATATGATCTAAATGCATAAGGAAGTATATAGGTTACATCAAATAAATCATTTAAAAATATGTTTGGCTGTCCGTTTGTTCTTGCTAATTTCTGAGACTATACGAGGGCTGTATGGATTATGACGGGACTTTTACTAATGTTATTAAAAGTAACTTTGGCTACTTTTATTACATACACGATTTATTTTGAAATTTCTTTGTTGCTGAATTCTTTACTACTTGTATTTTTTCAGGTACAATGAAGAGTAGTTTTAATTTCGATACTTAGTTTAAATATTGATACGCAACGGAAAGCAAAGCAACAACATTGTTTTATAAGTTTGGCCGACACGGTCAAGGAACCGGTATGAAAATAGCTCGAACAATAGAAGATCACGATTACCAGTTTTTGATAAACTAAGGAATTTGCCGAAATTTGAGAGTCCTGCTCCACTAACAAATGCTTAGTTGAAGGTAGAGAGTCGGCAACAATTGAAGAAATTAACCGAAGATTTAGCAGCACAGAAAGAAGAAGACAAGAAGGAATTAGCAGCTAGAAATATTGCTGTGACGAATCATGCCAAAGACTAATCTTTTGTTCCAAAATATTGTATTAGAAAATAGAAAAATAGAAATTGCCAATTCTAGCACCAGTGACAACATTTAAAAGAGATATGAAAATATATTTATTAGTAATTTTGTATCTAACGAACCAAATATTGTAAAACAAATTAACCTTAACGAATATTTCCACAGACAGCTCATGTTGAAGTTTGCCCGATTGCCAAGGAATGAAGAAAATTCTACCATATTTGCAATGTTGCACGCGTCAATACTGAGTAAAGATTCGGGGATAGATGGAGTATATCCACTGCCTCAATCTCCTCCGACCTCAATAAATCTGGACAACACGGAGGACGAAATGTTCTGTGCTCATTAAAGAGTACAGTAAAGGAGCGAACAAGAAGAAGAAATTAATTTAGACTTACACTAAGATAGTGGAATGTCATCGACAGTGTCATCGATGTAGTTTCAAAAATAGTTGCCACACGTTGCCTTGATAGTATTAATTTATTTTTAGTTAGTCTAGTTCTAGTATAGCAGCATTCGAATTTTGTAATAAAAAGAAATAAAATTATTTAAATAAATATATATGTTACTACTCTATTGTTTAATTACTAATTGTATTTTATACGGCTAAAATTTAATTGTTTAATATGTAAATTTATACACATGAATACTATTATTATTCTTGGTAATATTATAAATGCGAAAGTAACTCTGTCTGTCTGGCTTTCACACCAACACTACTGAACCGATTTAAATGAAATTTCGTACACAGATAGTCAAGACTCCGAGTAAGGACATAGGCTACTTTTTAATGCGAAAAAAGTTTGTAAAGGGTTGAAAGGAAGATGAAAGCTTGTACGGAAATCTTTTTTAAAGATAGGAACTTGAAATTTAGTTTTTAGGCTGTTGATTAAATCACAAGTTTGCATTTACGAGCTCTGCTCGACACGTGGACACGTGGACATCGTGGGCGTACTGCGTTAGAGACCATATGGGGATGCAGCTTTTTTTATAGAGGAAAGACTACATACAGTTAAAGATAATAATAAGAGTAATAGTGTTCGACCGCACTGCATTGGGCTTCTCTGTCTATATGCCAAACTAAATAGAGTTTTTGTTAAGTGTACTGGACCAATTACATAATTTTCATTTTGTTATATTGAAACTCCTCATAAAATTAAACATTGATTGGCAAACGGTGAGATTTTTATTAGCAGACAGGTTGGCAGCATCAAGGGGACATGTCTCCCTAATCCCAAAATAGAGCTCTAAGAGACAGCTATTAAAATTCAAGTGGTATTCGCCTGAGAACGGGCCTGTTCAATTTTGTATAGGCTTCCAGGCGCAGTGCGTGGTCGCTCTAAGTAATTGAACTGCGGTCCATATTTGACTCTTTATGGCTACCAGTGGACGAAATGATGCATTTCGCCCTACAGGTCGGTGGTTCAATTTTAAATTAAATTTATTTGCATACAGAAAATCTAGATATTGGCGCGTGACCTGACTAGGTACGTACGTTAAATTTAGGTGACATTCAAAGTTTGTAAAAATGTTGCCCTTAAGGGGATAAATTAAAATATAATATGAAAGTTTGTATGGAAATTTGTTCATACAGATAGAGTCTCTTTTGCATTTATAATAGTAGTAAAGTAAGGATTTTTGTATGTATCGATCATAATTATGGTAATTTTACAATAATTTTATGACATCACAAAGGCAAGTACTGAGTTCAATACAAAACGGACGATTTGCAACATTGGACAGTAATTCCTCAGTATTCAATCCACCGGTGGCCCATTGTCCGACTGACTTCGGCTCTTGTACACGCACGCTTATCTAAAAACCAAATTGCAATATCTTTACGCCAAACTATTATGACTCTAACCGTTACAACGTAAAGACTAATATGACAGCACGATAAACGTGGTCACCGTTGTTCAAAACATATATATTTAAATATTATATTCAAACGATATTGATCATTATTCCTTTAGCATTACAGTCTATGAAAACGGTAATACTAATGTTGCGATACATTCGACAAGGCGGCGTGTAGTGTGAGCACACGTTCGCGACTCACGAATCGCGGGCACGATCGTCGCGTGGCAGGAATGACAATGGGGTGGCCAACCTTCGGCACGATTTGATGGCCACCGTTTAACCCGTTGAATGCAGTCGTATTGATAATATACTATTAATTTGCACTTAGCTGTATCGAGTCGTTCCAAATTTAAAATGAATAATTTTTATACGCTAACTCTGAGCAAAGCTTACTATTTACGAAAA